ATGGTATTGGCACAAAAACAGACACATAGATCAATGGAACAGAATAGAGAACCCAGAAATTGACCCTCAACTCTACGGTCAACTAATCTTCGACAAAGCAGAAAGAATACCCATCCAGATGGCCAACAGACACATGAAGAAGTGCTCAACATCACTCAGCATCAGGGAAATACAAATCAAAACCACAGTGAGATACCACTCACACCAATCAGAATGGCTAAAATTAACAACTCAGGAAACAACAGATGCTGGTGAGGATGCAGAGAAAGGGGAACCCTCCTACACTGTTGGTGGGAATGCAAGTTGATGCAGCCACTCCAGAAAACAGCATGGAGGTTCCTCAAAAAGTTGAAAACAGAGCTACACTATGACCCAGCAATCACACTACAGGGTATTTACCCTAAAGATACAAATGTAGTGATCTGAAGGGGCACAGCACCCAAATGTTTATAGCAGCAATGTCCACAATAGCCAAACTATGGAAAGAACCTAGATGTACATCAACAGATGAATGGATAGATAAGATGTGGTATATATACACAATGGAATACTATGCAGCCATCAAAAGAAATGAAATCTTGCCATTTGCAACGTGGATGGAACTAGAGGGTATTATGCTGAGCAAAATAAGTTAATCAGAGAAAGATAATTATCATATGATCTCTCTGATATGAGGAATTTGAGTGGCAGATCAGGGGGTTGGGGGGTAGGGAAGGAAAAAATGGAACAAGATAGGATCAGGAGGGAGACAAACCATAAGAGACTCTTAATCTCACAAAACAAATTGAGTTTTGCTAGGGGGTGGAGGGGGTAGGGAGAGTGTGGTTGGGTTATGGACATTGGGGAGGGTATATGCTATGGTGAGTGCTATGAAATGTGTAAGCCTGATGATTCACAGTTCTGTACCCCTGGGAGAAAGACATCTGAATGTTGCCTTTGGTGATAGGAAAGTCACTGACCCTGCTAAGAAGGATTTCAGTGAAGTAGCAAGGAATGGCATCCTGTAGGAATTGGTTGATGAGACACTTGGAAGTCAGGAAGCAAACATTTCTTTTAGTTATTTTCCATCAAAGAAAAAAATAATAAAAGGAAATGAGACAGATGTTAGTTAAGGACATGGAGCCAAGGGAGGGCTTTTTCAAATTGGAAGCTAGAAAAACACATTTTGTAAATTGATCACTGATCCATGAAATAAGGGGGAAAAGGCAGCTTTAGGAAAGAAAGAGTGGGAAAAGAAAAGGAGAGAAGGAGAACGAAAGGGAAAAAAGAGAGAGAGAATTGTAATGGTGAAGATTAAAAAGACAAGAGAGGACTGGATTCAGAGGTTTAGAGTTTAAGAGTAATCCAGAGGGAAGGAGGTTGAAAATTATGATGATAGAGATGAAAGAATTCCTGATGGTTTTATTTTCTCAGTGAAATGTACATGAAATGCCTCAGAGTGAGTTAATCAAAATGGTTACTCATATAGCATCTTGGGAAAAAAAAGATAATGGCTGTTGAAATTAATAGGGTTTTACACATTAATAGACATTAACACAAGATCAAAACACAAGGCAAATCAGGTATCTGGAGAGTGAAATAGTTGGCCCATTGATTTTTTAAAAAGGATGGTAATACAATGCCTGTTAATTTATTTTAATACTTCATCATAATGCTTTATAGTATCTATGCTGGTCTAAACTTCACTTTAGGAAGACAGTTATTTGCTCAGATCAGGAATCCACATCCCATGGGTGGTCAGTAGCAGTTATTCTGAAAGTCCAGATTCCAAGGCAGCTGCTATAAGTGCTTCCGTTATCCATCTTTGGATGAACACTAGACTACCAGTATAATGAATATCAGAAATGGGCTTTCATTGGTAAAATTAGTGTCTTGTTAATCAACATAATGGATATATGTAATCAACTCTTATTGGTTAAATTAATAGTATTCAACTTATATATATTAGTTAAACAATTTAAAAGTCATGCCCCACACTCCCACTCTTAACAGCTAACAGTTTATGTTTCTCTTAAGGTCAAAAGCCTTTATCCATAGACCTGATGCCCTAGAATTGATCTCTAAAAAGTTCTGTGTCCCAGCCACTGGTTAGCAGGCATTCTCATTCCCTGATGCCCACTGCAAGGGTAACAGAATCCTACCTCTGCATTATTATCATATGTGCCTCCAGTAAATTACTCAAGCAAGGTAAATGTGGGAACCTCTAAAGGATAGGGACTTGAGACTTCATGACGCTTACACAGGTTGTTGAACTGGTGTACGTCGCCTTAGCAATATATATTTTTGTAACTATCAGTGTGTATGGCAGAATTTGGACTGTGACTTATCTTCATTACAATGTGGTTGGTTAAGGAGGTTGTGAAGGATTAAATAACACTTATCCAGTTCAAATGTGTCAGTGGCTTACACACATTTTTTACCAATGTGAACATAAAAGTTCTGCATAAATTAAATTAACTTATGTCTCTTCACAACAGATGGTATACTAGACTCTTCCCTTAAAATCTGCTACACCAAAAGATTTGTCTGGAAAATCCATTCTGGTTCTCTTTCGAACTCTATCACTTGCTTTCAGTATCTGACATTGAAATCCTCCAAGTACCAGAAGTTACCATCAGAGATGGAGAAAAAAAAAAAAAAGAAAAAAAACAAAGAAGGAACTTATTTACCAGTATGTCCTACTTCCAGTTTATAGAAAAGGTACATATTTATTTTTATAACCCTTAAGATGGTGTACATAGTGTTAAGTCACTCATTTAAAAAGAACTCTTGGGACAGTTGTAGGATAAAGAACTAGATAATACCACGTAATTAGATAACTGAAAAATAATGCTTAGTAGATCAGTGAGTGAACAACTTAGCATCTCAGAGGAAAGTCATAGTACTGCAAAAATTGGTATAAATAATATACCATTGTGTTTTTATTTTAATTTTGCATGATTTTTAATATTGTGTAGTGCTATTTTCTTTTGACCAGCTACTTCCACAAGATAAAACAAAAGAAAACAAATTACCCTCATAAGAGCAATTATAGTCTAATGTGAACTTTTTGCTACTAAATAAAATGATTAATTGCTTCCCTTCATAAAGAATGGAATAAAAACTATACCTGGAACATAATTTCTACCTAAAACATGACCGTAATTTAAAGTCAGAGCAAAATTCTAGCTCAAGCAAAAATGGACATTGAAAAAGTACCAATTACTTTTTTCTAAATGAGCTATATGTTTCAAATAAGAAAAACTTAAAAACATTGTACACATCGAAAACACTACAATTTATATGTAATATTGAGACTCAACACCCATGAAGCCAACAGTATACCTACTTAACATCTGCCAATGAGTCCTCATAACAGAATAAAAGCCCAAATCCTTAATATAGCCTATACATCCTGGCATAATCTGACCTCTACTCACTTCTCAAACCTCATTTCATGTCCCCCCCTACCAAGCCTTCCGCTAGACCCTACTCTCCAGAAATGTCGGCCACATTCCAGTTCCACATTCCAATCTCCTCTCTCTCAGATCTATACCTTTCTATCAATTCTTCAGGTCAATTCATTCCTCCTCACTCCGAGAGCCTCTGTTAAATATTTTCCCTTGCTGACTCTCCCCTATAAAATATAACATTTTACAGATTAATGTTACACTGTGATACACTCTCACAACACCCCAAGTGTTTCCTTCAGAGAATTTATCACAATTTGCAACTACACCATGAATTTGTTAAATATCTTACCCTCTCCCTGGTAACTTGACTGTCACTTCAAAGAGAGTAAGATCCTGTCTTTTTCTTCCCCATTGGTACCCCAGCACTAAGTTCGGTGCCTGGCATAGTGAAGATATTCAGTGAATAATTTTTCATGAATGACTACATTCTCCATTATTAGTAAAGGATCTGCCCCTTTTTAGGATAAAATAAATGTTTGATGTTTTCTGAGCTGTATATTGGTAGAGGTAAAGGTCTGGGATAAATGACAGTTCTGTGGAAATTTTAATCTAATATATACATGTTTTAAAAGGCATTCCCTCAATTTTACAAGCAATATGACATTATTGAGAATGAAGGCAATCACATTTGGATTTTGAAATAAGGTTGCCAAATCCTAGTTGACCTTTAATTATCTTCACCTGAAATTTCTAGTAGTTTTATAGAGCTCTGATTAAACCTGCATTTTCTGCTGAGGAGATTTGATGTGACAGGTAATTCAAAAAAAAAATAGGGTTTTATTTAAGTATAGCAAAAGGGTGTTGCTTTGTGGTTTGTTGCAAATCTTAGATGTATTGATTGCTCAGAATCTAGAGCCTTTCTCCTATAATTAGACCAATGTGGTAAATACAATCATTCTCCTCATTAATTATTTGTACTTAACCACTCAATTTTTGACTCTTACAATTACTCCATGGGAAGTTTTCCTTAGTTTCAAAGGTTTAAAAAATCCCAGATAAAAGTGAAACAAAACAAAAATACATACGAAAGATCTGTTTGGTATTACTTAGGCAGGTAGCTAGCTGCCTTTATTTTGTTTGTGGCCTGGTTTTAATGGCATTAATGGTTCTAATGTCAGGAGGTCCATTAGTCAAATGACATAATAAGCCAAATGTTAGGTGAGTCTGCAGATGATCAGGCCTGTGATTGATGAGATACTCTAACAGGTTACACTCAAAAGAGCTTAAGAGTCCGCTGTCAAAACATTTTACTAAGAAAGAAAGAGTGTTAAGTAACTCTGATGTATATTGAGTCAGTATTCCCAAAAGGATCCAGACCAGAATTCATGACCATCACACCAGAACTTTCTTGAAAGTTCTAATACAATACAGGTATCTTGCATCTAAAGCAAAGCACTTGAACAATCCAAGGACATTTGTTTAACCATAATATTCATTTTTCACCTCCTCTTAAGAAAGGAAGGAAAGTAAGACGGGAGGAGAGGAAAAGAAAGTTTGACAGATCTGTAATGAACCAGGCACTTGTTCAAACACATTTCCAAAGCCTACCTTCTGGATCCCAAGGCTTTGTGTGAGGAGGCCATTCTTTCTCTTCAAGGCAAAATGACTTATAATCAGGACAGCAATCAGAATTTTCCCTTTCACAGAATTTATCGCAGTAACATACTGCATTTGCCTCATAGAACTGAGTGGCACAGCCATCATCTCTGTCTTCACAACAACCAAAACTTCTACAGTATTGTCCTTTGAAAATGGCTCTCTTGAATCGAGAACCCTCCCAAATCGTGTGATTCCTAGTGAAAGCAGGTCCTGGGATCACTTCTCTTTGAGATAAATACTGTTTCTTCATCCAAATTTCTGTGGTAAGATAGGAAAAGATTAAGATCTTATATCCAGTCCACATTCTCTAGATGTCAGGTAGGGTTCCCACTTTCTGTTATAGTCAATACCCTTGGCTTTGGGGCTTCTCCTTGGAGCCGGAATTCTAATCATCAAGACAACCCAGCCTGAATCCTGAAGTGGATCCTTTACTTGAACTGAGTATACTTCTTGTAGTTAAACATTAATCAAAAATTTAAATGTTTGCCCAAGATAATGTGTTAAAAATAGACCCTTATCATTCCTTCAAAGTTAAAAATATGTAATATTTTATATCATGCAAAAAAATCCATCACCACAAAAATAAGTACATAAAATCTTAGCATTGATGAAATACATTGAATAAACCTTGCCTCAAAAAAAATCTAGATTCTTAAATCAGAAACCTCTCTGGAATACACATGGCCCAAATTATGGCTGCAATAACCACTGGCAAGGTGTAGGAAATTGGAAAGTCAAAAACACAATTATTCATTTCACCTACTTGCACAGCAACTAAAATCCAAGCTTTCATGGGGTTACCTGCTAGGATCTGTCATATCAATAACAGTTGCTCTAAATCATGCCCAGTCACACACTGGTTTGATTTCCCATCTGTACTCCATTTACCTACCAGAAGCATTTTGATTTCAAGGCTTAGTTGAGCCTAATTCAGCTAGAAATTCCCTGAGGGTGACCTTAGTTCCTTCCACCTGAGTCCCTTCTTGGCACCAGTGTAGGAACCTGCAGTATCTAAAAGGCATTTTATAGTCAAGGAAAGACCATCTCTGTGCTAGAAAACTTCAGGAAGAGGTAGTCATGAAGGAAACCCAAAGGTCAAGATGTCTTTAGTAGAACTGTACATTTACAGTGGGTTTTGTTATACTGTGTTTATTCATTAACTACAGTAACTCCCTTTGGATTCAGGAGACGTAACAAGTGAATGATGAATCAGCAAGAGTGGCTGGGTGGCTTAATAGAAAGGACTTGTCTTGACGGTCAGAAAAGCCGGACTCTGGTCCCTGGCTACTATTTAATTAGCTTTATGACTTTGGGTTCACAATTTGCTTCTCTGGTTCTCAGTTACTTTTTCTTATAAAACAAGGGTCTTCTCTAAGGCTAATTCACAATTCTAACCCCCGCATAATTTATCTGATTCACACATCATTGTTTCACTTTCTTGACCCTTCCTCTCTGGCTATAAACCAGCATAAGTTCCTTTATCTTTTCTGTTTCAAATTTACACATCTTGGCATCCCTGTCCATAATCATCCTGACTCTCCAATCCCAAAAAGGCTAGTGGAGATTTCCTCAACATTCACTCACGAAACTACTGCAAAGTGCTGTGAACATTCTCACCACCTATGACCAATGACCCCTTTACATCCAGTTCCCATACATCTGTGTCCAGCCTCATCAGACATGAATCTTTGGCAGCATTTAGCACTATATTACAAACTGGAGCCCAAGAGACTAACGGAGTTCAAAACCTTATGTCACCATTAACTAGCAGCTTGTCTTTGGGTTTATATCTCAATTTCTTCATTTGTGAAATTTGCATAATAATATTGATTACCACACCGGGTGGGTGGCAAATTTAAATGAGATAATACTCAGAGTACCTGGCACATCGCACATGCTAAGTAAATGTTACCTACCATTAATAAGTATGTTGTCCCCCTAGAACACCTTTTCAACTTTAGCTTCATTCTTTCCTGATTCTCTTCCCATTCTTTACAAGGCTTTACAATCTGCTTGGACTCTCTTTCCTTTTCAGTGATAATTTAAAGTATGTTTTTACCAATAGTCTCAATTCTTTTCTTCCCTAGTCTTTATACCTCATCTTCCCTCAAAAAACCCCAGCACTCAATCAGTCTAAAAGCCATGGGCTATAAGACCTTATAGAAAGTGGATGTCTGATAAGTGTATCTACCAGAATTATAATATCTTGCTTTTACCAATATAACTTCTCTAAGTTGATAAAAGCTTTCAAATATCTCTGCAAATAAACTTCACATTGAAAGAACATATTTCACACAAGTTCCACTACTACTGAATTCCTTTAGACCAGTGTTTTCAACAGGGGTGACTTTGCTTCCCAGGAGAAGTTTAACAATATCTAGAGTTTTTGCTGACCTGACTGGGGAGGTGGCACAGTGGATAGAAGCTGGGGACGCTGCTAACACCCCAGATGCACAGGACGGAACCCACAACAAAGAGTTATCTGACCAACAGTGTCAATAATGACACCGCTGATAAACACTAACTTATACACATTACAAACATTTTAAAAAGAACAAGAAATCAGAAAAAAATAAAAATTATCATGCGTACTTGCAATTTGGATTTATATAAATGTTGATCATCTGGACCTCCAACAATGGTTGCTTTTGAGATAACAGCAGCACACTTTGACAAATCAGTATACGCATAACTAGAAAGGTTGAGATCCACCGTGCCACACTCTTTTCCAGCTTGACCACTCTCCTTGGATGATCTATGTTTTAGGTAAGGAAAATGTCACATTCCTTCTTCTAGTGATTTTTACAACCCCCATTGCACAAAGAACAATGGAGGGAATCAGCACCTTCTGATTTTTCCTTGGGAGGAAGGAAGTCAACCAAATAACTTTCTATATGCAAGATCTTAGTTGCTGTGAAAATGGACTGGACACTGGAAATTTCAGTGATTTTTATAATTGGAAGTTTGTGGGTTTATTTAAACAAGTGAACTATAAACTTGAATGGGAGAGGGGATGAGAGGAGGGGAGAGAGAGAACAGAGAGGGGGAGCTTGCTGAAACCACTTTATTTTATTGACTTAAATTCTGTCATTAGAGATTTATCTCTTTAAGCTTTTTTTTTTTCTTTATGATTTTGTTTATTTATTCAACAGAGAGAGAGAGAGAGCACAAGAGCGGGGAATGGCAGGCCAAGGGAGAGGGAGAAATAGGCTCATCGCTGAGCAGGGAGCCTGATGCAGGGCTCCATCCCAGCACCCGGTGATCATGACCTGAGCCAAAGGCAGATGCTTAACCTTCTGAGCCATCCAGGCACCCCAGAGATTTATCTCTTTGAATTATGGAGGCTGCAGAAGTGTCCTGTGGTAGTAAGTGCTAAGAGATCTAGAATGGGGGCACCTGGGTGACTCAGTCAGTTAAGCATCTTACTTTCAATTTCAGCTCAGGTCATGATATCAGAGTCAAGAGATTAAGCTCCCCAGGAGGCTCTACACTCAGCAGGGAGTCTGTTTCTGTTTCTCTTTCTCTCTCTCTCTCTCCCTCCACCCCTCACCCCACTCACACTCTCTCTCTCCAAAATAAATATATATATATTTCTTTTAAGAAAGATCTAGGATGATCTCATAAAGGATTGGTAAAGATGATAAGAAAGGGTAGAGAGAAGACTTGTTAAAAATGAAATGTTCTTTCTTCACACATTGGTCCATTAGTTAACTATTTGAAGCAACACTCTTCTTATTTCTACCCTACTAAGTTATTTTGAATTTTAGAATAGAGGACTTCAAAGAGATGTAAAGAAGGGGTAGTTGTCTTTAAGATTAGGCTGTGAGGGAGACTGAAGGATGTGATACATTATAATTACCATATACCTCTGTAATATATACATATCTATGTCTGTATAATACACAACACATATTGTGTTAGCATATGTACACAATCTCTTTGATCCTTGCAACCAGTCGTGATGGCAGCAATTATAATTACTATCCCTACATTAGTTTTTACACAGGAAGGACTGAGGCTCAGGTGACAATACCAGACACACAGCCAATGATAGAATGTTTGACCACAAGCTCAGTGCATATTTCCCTGACCTATCCAGCCTTTCTGTTTAAATATTCATCTGGTCATCTTGCCTAAAGCCTGGTCTTACCCATGACATGGACTATCTTTCTAGGTCCTTTTTAACCAAGTGCTTCCTGAGGTGGAGAGAGTATGGGAGAGGGTAAAGATCTTGGGAAGGATCATAGGGTTTTCCCTGATTGGTTGTATATTATAAAAACACTCAAGTGAAACTCCACTCTTCTGTGAAGTCTACCCACTAATGCAGATTTGGCTTCTAATTATACATTACTAAGAGCACTGAAAAGAATTAAAAATTTAGCAGATCCATGAAATGGAAAAGAGGATCTTGCAATAGCTCTCCAACTGACAATGGTTCAGGACACTGGGCTCAGGTCCAGGCTTCAGAAATTTTTCTCAAAACCATCTAACCTTTTATAATAATTAAACATTTCTGTTGTTTTTTCTGCTTCTTAAAAAATAACAATTTCAACATCCTTTTCCTTTTTATTAACTTTCCAACATAAAATTGCATCTGCAGAATAATACAGCTGGGAAGGATATCTGACTTAGATCATTAGGCACCAAAAAAAAACCTCTTACAGGCCAAGAGTATATGTCCATTTGGGTCTGGAGCAAGGCAGAGAATGGCCCTGACAAAGGCCCTATTTTAACACCCACCAGGTCTCCACTCTGGTTAAGGGCCTCCTGCAGAGCTCGTGTTGCCAATTCTTTGCCTTGATGTGGACAAGGGAGGAGCCGTTAAAATTTTAGAATGACCAAACTCAAAAATAAACTAGAAAAAAGAAAAAATAAACAGAAATGCATGAAGGCAAAGGGGATAGTAAAAGACTACAAGGGAGAAAAAACTAATAGAAAAAACAAGTTATTAGATGAAGAATTGTGCAAATGTTTAAAAACAAAATTTTCTTTCACGTCAAAATTCTAATTTCAATGTATTTAAACAGGAAACAATGGGGAACACAAAAAGTCACCTCTAGAGCTAATAAAAAAAACGTTGTTTTGTTTCACAATAAATAAAACATTGTTTTATTTCTTACTTAAAAGTAAGAAAGAGACATGCTATCTCGTTGTCTTACTGTACTTCTAGCAGTATAGCTTTGAGGAAAGGCAGTTGTAGTCATTCATTCTCTTACTAAAAAAAAAAAAAATGTACTCCAGATGTATTCTGGGGGGAGCTAAATTCTATAGATACATATACTAAAAAAATCTAACCCTAATACTTAAAGAACAACCCAGGATAGCCAGGGAAGCTAACTTGTTAAAACAACAATAACAACAACACACATACACACACACACATGCACAGTATTACAATGATCCTTGATAAGTGTTATTACAGAGAGAGGATTTAATGAGAGCACAAAAGAGGTAGTGGTCA